ATTAACAAATTGAAAGATAAAAACCATATGATTATCTCAATAGATGCAGAAAAAGCCTTTGATAAAATTCAACATCCATTTATGATTAAAACTCTCCAGAAAGCAGGAATAGAAGGAACATACCTCAACATAATAAAAGCTATATATGACAAACCCACAGCAAGCATCACCCTCAATGGTGAAAAACTGAAAGCATTTCCCCTGAAATCAGGAACAAGACAAGGGTGCCCACTCTCACCACTACTATTCAACATAGTTTTGGAAGTTTTGGCCACAGCAATCAGAGCAGAAAAAGAAGTAAAAGGAATCCAGATAGGAAAAGAAGAAGTGAAACTCTCGCTGTTTGCAGATGACATGATCCTCTACATAGAAAATCCTAAAGACTCTACCAGAAAATTACTAGAGCTAATCAACGAATACAGTAAAGTTGCAGGATATAAAATTAACACACAGAAATCTCTTGCATTCCTATACACTAACAATGAGAAAACAGAAAGAGAAATTAAGGAAACAATACCATTCACCATTGCAACAAAAAGAATAAAATACTTAGGAGTATATCTACCTAAAGAAACAAAAGACCTATACATAGAAAACTATAAAACACTGATGAAAGAAATCAAAGAGGACACAAACAGATGGAGAAATATACCGTGTTCATGGATTGGAAGAATCAATATTGTCAAAATGGCTATACTACCCAAAGCGATCTACAGATTCAATGCAATCCCTATTAAACTACCAACGATATTTTTCACAGAACTAGAACGAATAATTTCACAATTTGTATGGAAATACAAAAAACCTCGAATAGCCAAAGTAATCCTGAGAAAGAAGAATGGAACTGGAGGAATCAATCTGCCTGACTTCAGACTATACTACAAAGCCATAGTCATCAAGACAGTATGGTACTGGCACAAAGACAGAAATATAGATCAATGGAACAGAATAGAAAGCCCAGAGATAAATCCACGAACCTATGGTCACCTTATCTTTGACAAAGGAGGCAAGGATATACAATGGAAAAAAGACAACCTCTTTAACAAGTGGTGCTGGGAAAACTGGTCAACCACCTGTAAAAGAATGAAACTAGAACACTTTCTAACACCATACACAAAAATAAACTCAAGATGGATTAAAGATCTAAATGTAAGACCAGAAACTATAAAACTCCTAGAGGAGAACATAGGCAAAACACTCTCCGACATAAATCACAGCAGGATCCTCTATGACCCACATCCCAGAATTTTAGAAATAAAAGCAAAAATAAACAAATGGGACCTAATGAAACTTAAAAGCTTTTGCACAACAAAGGAAACTATAAGCAAGGTGAAAAGACTGCCCTCAGATTGGGAGAAAATAATAGCAAACGAAGCAACAGACAAAGGATTAATCTCAAAAATATACAAGCAACTCCTCCAGCTCAACTCCAGAAAAATAAATGACCCAATCAAAAAATGGGCCAAAGAACTGAACAGACATTTCTCCAAGGAAGACATACAGATGGCTAACAAACACATGAAAAGATGCTCAACATCACTCATTATCAGAGAAATGCAAATCAAAACCACAATGAGGTACCATTACACACCAGTCAGGATGGCTGCTATCCAAAAATCTACAAGCAATAAATGCTGGAGAGGGTGTGGAGAAAAGGGAACCCTCTTACACTGTTGGTGGGAATGCAAATTAGTACAGCCACTATGGAAAACAGTGTGGAGATTTCTTAAAAAGCTGGAAATAGAACTGCCATATGACCCAGCAATCCCACTTCTGGGCATACACACCGAGGAAACCAGATCTGAAAGAGACACGTGTACCCCAATGTTCATCGCAGCACTGTTTATAATAGCCAGGACATGGAAGCAACCTAGATGCCCATCAGCAGATGAATGGATGAGGAAGCTGTGGTACATATACACCATGGAATATTACTCAGCCATTAAAAAGAATTCATTTGAATCAGTTCTAATGAGATGGATGAAACTGGAGCCCATTATACAGAGTGAAGTAAGCCAGAAAGATAAAGACCATTACAGTATACTAACACATATATATGGAATTTAGAAAGATGGTAACGATAACTCTATGTGCAAAACAGAAAAAGAGACTCCTATGTATAGAACAGACTTGTGGACTCTGGGAGAAGGCGAGGGTGGGATGTTTCAAGAGAACAGCATTGAAACACGTATATTATCTAGGGTGAAACAGTTCACCAGCCCAGGTTGGGTGCATGAGACAAGTGCTCGGGCCTGGTGCACTGGGAAGACCCAGAGGGATTGGGTGGAGAGGGAGGTGGGAGGGGGGACCGGGATGGGGAATACATGTAAAAAAAAAAAAAAATAAAAAAAGATACACTATGGTTGTGATTAAAAAAATAAATAAATAAATAAATAAATTTAAAAAAAAAAAAAAAACAAAGAGGAACTAAAGAGCCTCTTGATGAGGGTGAAGGAAGACAGTGAAGAAGCCAGCTTAAAACTCAATATTAAAAAAACTAAGATCATGGCATTCAGTCCCATCACTTTATGGCAAATAGAAGGGGGAAAGGTGGAAGCAGTGACAGATTATCTCTTCTTGAGCTCTAAAATCACTGCGAATAGTGACTGCAGCCATATTAGAAGACAATTGCTTCTTGACAGGAAAGCTAGACAGTGAGTTAAAAAGCAAAGACATCACTTTTCCAACAGTGTTCCATATAGTCAAGGCTATGGTCTTCCCAGTAATGATGTATGGATATGAGAGCTGGACAATAAAGAAGGCAGAGCACCAAAGAATTAATGCTTTCAAATTGTGGTGCTGGAGAAGACTCTTAAGAGTCGCTTGGAGAGCAAGGAGATCAAACCAGTCAATCTTAAAGGAAATCAACACTGAATACTCTTTGGAAGGACTGATGCTAAAGCTGACGCTTCAATACTTTGACCACCTGATGCGAACAGCTGACTCTTTGGAAAAGACCCTGATGCTGGGAAAGATTGAAGGCAGAAGGATAAGAGGGCGACAGAGGTTGAGATGGTTGGATGGCATCACTGATTCATTGGACATGAACTTGGGCAAACTCCGGGAGATAGTGAGGGTCAGAGAAGGCTGGCACGCTGCAGTCCATGGGGTCACGAAGAGTCAGATACAACTTGGTGACTGAACAGCAACAACAAGGGGTTGTGAAAACCTCGAAATTATTAAATGAGAAAAGGTTACCACCTCAACTTTGTTTGTATGTCCAGTTAGCAACCACATTCGAATGTCAAGCTAAGGCAGAGATCTGGAGAGGAAAATGTTAGTGAGAAAGAACTGTGTCATAGGAGAAAACTTATATTCCATGACCAGGACACAGGACCTAGAATCAACAGAAAGTCAAAATGGATTTAACAGTTAAACAACAGGGATACCACCACATATTTGCTATTGGTTCATGGGTGCGTCCTTTGCAGTTTGCCAGTCAGACTTCTCCACACAGTTACTTTTCCTTGTAGCTCAGAAATAAGTAAAGACAAGAAAAAAGGAAATAGAAAGTGGACCCCACTCCTGCTTTCATCTGAAATCAATGTTGCCTTTAATTTAAAAGTTTTAAGTGTTCTAGAAGTCACTTCATTATTCATCACGCCATCCAAAGACTACTTATGTCAGTAAGTGAGTAAATGAAATGCAGTATTCCCACTTTCCATATGAGTTAAAACACATGTCCCAGATGCCACCTAGAGCCCAGGGTCCTGAGTTTGAGTTACATAGTTAACACATTAAATTGATCATCTTGTTTATCTTCAGTTCTCTGTTGGTTGCAAAGCCTACTTATACATTATATCCCAAGAGGGTTCTTTAAATGGAATGACATGTTGGAGTCTTAGGAAAGCTGAAGATAAAATTTTAAATTATTTATTTGTTTTGTTTTTACATTTTTACTTTGTGACCATACCTTGAGGCACGTAGGATCTTAGTTCCCCAACAAGAGATCAAACCCACGTCTCTTATATTGGAACCATGGAGTCTTAAAAGCTGGATGGCCAGGGTAGTCCATAAATTACGTGTTTGAATTCCAGTAGTGGATTGTGTCAATCTATTGACCTGAGAGAACACATTAGGTGGAGTTTCTAGACTGAGAATGATCTCTTGCAAGAAAAAATAGTGATGTGACTAAAGAAAGATAGAAGGGAGGTTGACAGTCTCCTTTGCCTTGGAAAGAAAATTACTGGGGAGAAAAGTGAAAGAATAAAAGACTGAAAATGACTTTATGATGATGCTAAAGATCAAGTAGCTCTTGGATCCTGAAGGAAGGGGATGTTTCCACTTTAATGTATAGGAAGCAGCCAGAGAGAAAGGACTCTCTCACCAAGATGGGGACTAGTGTTTTTAATCTTGTTTTTTAATAGAGAACTAGAGAAGAGCCATGTGTCTTCTAGGAATTCTATTTGCTTCAATCATTGCTTTAAAGGAGTATTGTCTTTAAATTGATATTTTATTCAAATTATCTAAATTGTTGAACAATGGGTTATATTATTGTGCAAAGCTGTAGGTTGGAACTTCGGACTATGCAGCTGGCACATAGAGTGGAGAGAAGCTGCTTTGATCCAAAGAAAATTCTAGTAGCCAAGACATACTCTTAATAGTCAGCATACCAAACTATTGTGCCCACCAACATGAGGAACCCTTAAAGCACAGACAGCAAGGAAGAGTTTAGTGACAACCCATCAGTTCTATCCAAAGTGAACCAGGCAGCACAAGGACATAGGATCCAAAGTGATTTTGTTTCTAATCAAACTACTTTAGGGCACAACTCAGTTGTCCATTACATAACTCTTTTTAATATTCTCTGCATTCTGCCTGCTTTGTGCAGAAGCGGTCAATAAGTTTTGCTTCGTCTGAATCACCTGCAGAAAAGTGATGCTACCAAGTAACTCCTTGAAAGCAGAATCTCCTTAAAAACTGTCTTAATTGATCAAACTCGGGAAGGCATTAATTGCAGGAACTCACTTGTCTAACTAAATGTATGTGTGTTTTCACAGGCGACATCGTGACGATACACAAGAAGAAAGATGAAGGATGGTGGTTTGGCTCTTTAAAGGGAAAAAAAGGTCATTTTCCTGCCGCTTATGTGGAGGAGCTTCCTTCAAATGCCGGGGACACAGCTTCACAAGCATGAGCGAAATTCTGAAGGCATCATCTTACACATTGTTAATTATACAATGTGATGCAAATAAAGGGAAATGCTGTTGTCTTCACAAGTTTATCTTCCTAACTGGGTTCCATGATGCGGGCATGATGCAGATGTGCCCATGATGCAGGTACATCATGGCATTTTGCACTCTTAGTTCTTTGAAATAGTGAGAAGATGGAGGGTAAATAGGAGGTGAAAAAGATGTACCATGGTTCCTAGAGTTTTCTAAAAGACTCTAGAAATAATCCAAAACAGCCCCTCTCACAGGGAGAAAAGTGCAAAGCAGTTTAACCTGAAGTCAGATAGTTTTCTGGTGGCGCAACAGAGATTAGGATGCAGATGTCCTTTCCCTCAAGTCTTGGGTGGCAGTAGCCGCAGTAGGCCCACAAAGGGTCAAGCAGGGCCATGGAGATGGAGAAGAATACATATGAAGTCCAAGAAGACCTCAGCAGAGACAGGCAGGTAAAGCACCAGTGAGACAGACCCAAGTTAAGGACAGTAGAATAAAGGCTCATGAGCCAAGGTGGATAGTCAGCGTGGTTGGAAGAGAGGCTGGTAGACAAGAGGGCTCTATGCCAGGCAGAGGACCTCGGGCTAGAAAAGGGTTCCGTCCTGAGCCAGTGACCTTCTGAGTTAGTGGCTTCTTATATATCCCTACCCACAATCAGAATTACTCTTAGCATGAGGTGAAGTGTGAGTCAGATGGCTGGAGATCTGAGAATAAGAGCAAGGCTGATAGAAAAGGGTTAGGAAGGAGGCAGTGACTGAAATTTCATGCCTCCCTGCCCAGTTGGAAACTTCATACACCAATTCAGAAACTAGGAATTGTATACTTTCCTTCCAGGTTGTGATGCAAGGAATATCCTAAGCAACTTCTTAGTGACAGACACTTAAATGCTAATGAGTCTCTAGTTTGAATGATAAGTTCTAAAAACCAGAATTTACTGTCAAAATGGAAAATTTAGAGATTTCTGCCACTTCCTCAAATGCCCTACAATGGGAAAAGGTGGAGAATGAGAGAGAGCAGGCCCCCAAACTTTCTCCAAGGGGAACGTTTCAGAATAGAGAGGCGTGTTACAGCAGCATCTCAGAAACTGGCCTACATCAGCTTGGAGATCACACACTCCATTGAACAGAAGGTCAAGATATTGCAAGAACATCTAAGCAGATTTACTTTTGTGCCAAACAGTGTGGCATTAAAAGAGTGATTAAAATCCATTCTATTACTCTCCTTCCCCCTACTTCTTTTTTTTAACTTGTCACGTTTTATACTGTGAAAAAGGAAATTTTCAAATATATTTTATTTTAAATAAGGTACATATATTTTTTATACTCTGCACCATTACACTCCTAAAGCAGGATATAACTAACAAAGATATTTATAGATACAGATATCAGACCGGAAGGAGCTCAAGTAAAACCTGTTATGTGAGACATAACTTACAGCCCAGAAGAACAGATCAGAAGTTTTAAAGTCATCCTTAATGGCATATTAATGAAGGCATTCCACATGTAGAAAGTTGGCTGAATAATAGGCCATTAAGACCATGAACAGAGATTTTGAATTTATATTTCCTTTTCATCTGACTTCTTTCCATTAAGCCTTGATGGATAAAAGAAATTGCATAGCCATTGACTGCAGCCTACATGTGATCATTTGTATAAAGTGATGATAATGATGATTGGACCCTGAAACTCTTTGGAAGTAATTTTCAAAGGGGCCCCTCTTTCTTCCTAAAGCAGTTTTACTTTGTAAAGACATAAATGGTTTTCCTGGTTTAAAATGTTGCTACAAATTCTTTTTTTGCATCTGTGATATGTAATTTTTTTAAACTTCAAAGAAACACTATAGTATTAAGCTAGATAAAAATACACATATTTTGGGGTGTAATAGACTTGGATATCATCTTAGAAGGGCAAGAATTTTCTGACAGGACAGGAGGGGATGGTACTACTTAGATTTAAGTAAAAATTAAGTGCATATTGGGAACATTAATGATGTTCCCAAGTCTTCCACAGAGAATAAAATAATTGTTTTAATATTAAGACTTTTAAACTCTTAATTGGGCTTTCATAATTATACTCCACTAGGCAGTTTTCTTATGTCAGGAATTTTCTAGCAACATTAGCAACCTGAAATATCGGCAGTAGAGGTCTGAGTCAGATTTTCTCTAAAAACATCAAAGACATTACTCTATTTTATCTTCTTTCTGGTACAGTAAATTCTGACTATCCATTATCCTGTCATGTCAACCAGAAAGATTAATTTCACTTTTCTGCATTTCAATTACTCATAATAATTAATATTCACAATGAGTTTTATCATCCATTCTGAAAGTCAGAAAGTAAAATAATATTCAGTTTGGGTTAAAGTAAATTTTATTGTACAGTATTCTAAGGTTTTAACTGATTAGTAATTTGAGCATAATATAACTTTGTTCCAGCTTCCAAGAAAAAGTCCCTCCTCCCCCAGAGTCTTTATGGACTCAGGGGCAATCAGCCAAATTTGGAAAGAGAATCAAATAGCAACACATCCCATTGTCTGTGGCAACATTAGTAGCAAGAATGTCTAACCCAGGAAAGATGGGCTTGAGGGCAGGGGATCAAGAGAAGGGATTTTGAAGGGTAAAGAGGAATTACTATTCACTGATCTGTTGCTTCAATACTATAAAGACAGTAAATCCTTTTCCTCAAAGAGCCCTCAATCTGTCTTCTGAAAGGGAAACAGACCAGTAAGCAAACACAATACACTGTGATAAATGTTGTGTGTGTGTGTGTATGTGTTAGTCACTCATTCATATCCAACTCTTTGCGACCTCATGGATATACAGTCCATGGAATTCTCCAGGCCAGAATACTGGAATGGGTAGCCTTTCCCTTCTCCAAGGGATCTTCCCAACCTAGGGATCAAACCCAAGTGTCCCAATGTATTGCAGGCAGATTCTTTTCCAGCTGAGCCACAAGGGAAGCCGGAGCTGAACGCTATGGGCAGATAAAATGGTGCTGCAGATAAAATGAAACTTCTGGAAAGTACACACTTATAAAAGTGATTCCAGGGTTTCCTCAGTGGCTCAGCAGTAAAGAATCCGCCTGCCAATGCAGGAGACACAGGTTTGATCCTTGATTTGGGGAGATCCCACATGCCATGGGGCAACTAAGCCCGTGGGCCACAACTATTGAGCCTGTGCTCTGGAGCCTGGGAACCACACTACTGAGCCCACACGCCTCGACTACTGAAGCCTGAGACTCTAGAATCTGTGCTCCATAACAAGAGAAGCCACCACAATGGGAAGCCCACACATCCCACACTGCTCACCTCGAGTAAGGGAAAGCCCCCGCAGGAAAGAAGACTCAGCACAGCCAAAAATAAATAAAATTATTATTTAAAAAAATTGATTACATACGAGGCCACAAAGTAATGCTCTAGAAGTTGTGTGATGACAATGTAAGAAATCATTTAGAAAAGAATAAGTGAAAAAACCCTATGTGTTCAACACATGTTTTATGTCCCTGCACACATACAAACACACATGTGCAGACACACACACTTCTAAATAACACATGGTCAAAGAATAGATCTTAATGGAAAATTTTAACTGTTAGAAATAAAAAATAAGAAAGTTACTATGTGCTAAAACCTATAGTTTCAGGAAAGCAACTTAAAAAAGGTACCACTGGAGAAAGGATAAAATTAATGAATTAAGCATCCTAATTATGAGTTTATAAAAACATCAGAAACAACCTAAAGCAAATAAAAGAAAGATCAGAAATTAATGACATATAAAACAAGAGGTTGAATAAAGCTATTCATTGGTTCTTTGAAAGGGTTAATCAACTGAGCAAACCTTTGGCAAAATTAAGAAAGTCATGAAAGTGAAAGTGTTAGTTGCTCAGTCAGGTCTGACTCTTTGCAACCCCTTGAACTGTAGCTTGCCAGGTTCCTGTATACCATGGAATTCTCCAGGCAAGAACTCTGGAGTGGGTGGCTGTTCCCTTCTCCAGGGGATCTTCCTGACTCCCAGGGATCGAACCCAGGTCTCCTGCAGTGCAGGCAGATTTTTTACCATCTGACCCACCAGGGAAGCACAAGAAAGGCATAAATAAAGCAGCATTATTTCTAAGAAAAAAGGAGACACACTACAGAAGCAGTAGCTATCAAAAACCAAAATTATATATTATTAACCAACTTCACACCAATTTGCAAAAAAAGTCAGCAGGAGACAAATTTCTCAAAAAAGTATGCCTTATCAAAACTCAGGAAGAAATAGAATAATTAAGTAATTCAATAACTATTAAAAAATTGACAAGCATTTTTCTAAAAGCATCTTCCTACAAAGAAAACACAGGCTCAGAGAGTTTTATATGTGTGTTCAAAAGCCATAAGCCCTTATTCAAACTTTTTTGGGAAACAGAAAAGAAAGGAACATATCTCAACTATTTTCAAGGGTCTAGGACCTAGGATAACCAGATGATGTTAATACACAAAGGAAAAATAAGCCAATCTAATTCATGGTTATAGAAGTAAAAATTTAAAGCAAATTTCACAAAACTGAATCTAGCATTATTAAAAACAAAACAAAACAGACTGCACGCCATGACTAAGATTTATTCTAGGAAGGCAAGTTTAATTCAACTTTTTTTTAAAGCCTATTAATATAAATCACCATACCAACAGCTACAAGATGAAAATCCACACAGATACAGAAAAACAATAAAATGCAACAAACATTCATGATAATTACTTTTAATTAACTGAAAATAGAAAACTTCCTTGGCCTGCTCAACAAAAAGAAAAGGCAAGTTTGGGAAATTACACATCGTGCAGTTTGGTTGCAGAGAAAATTTAATCTCAAAAAGATCAACTGATTTGTCCAAGATCATGTATCAATTTTAATAGTAGAGCAACGGCTAGACCACATCTTAATTCTCAAATCTTTTCATGTTACCATGTTGATACTGGAAAGAAGAATTTTTCACACACACACACACACACACACACACACACACACAGAGCATTTATTCAAGATTTACCATTATATAGATCACATTTATTTGAATCTTAAATATTGCCTCTTTCTGAATTTTTGTAAAAATCTATGCAGCTGAGTAAAATAATTTATCCCTTGAAGTTTTTCCACTTGTTGCACCTTAGCCTAGCAGCTAACTCCAGCTTGCCTAGTTGATAAGGAAAGAGAGTAACGTGTCTATAAACTCCAAACACATACCCCATCATACATTGTTCATACTTCACATAACACGTTTAAGAGTACTATGAAAGGAGCTGATTCGAAATAGCTTGCGTACTCTCTAGTTTACTTACTTACTTGACAAGACTCTCTTTCTACATAGATGAAACTCTTGTCTTTACTCAGAGTCTTGTTCTCGATTAGCTTGCCATTTTTTCAAGAACTACTTTACCTGTTAAAAATTGCTGGACATCTCAGCAACATGCCTGTAGGTATTACTGAACAAGTCAGCTCCTTTTCAAAGGTGTAATTTAAATTTCCCATTAAAAAAATAAATAGATAAAAAATAAATTTCCCATTAAATAATTTTCTGCTGAGTCTGGAAATGTGTTCAACATTGACAAATACTTATTAAGTTTCTACTATATGTTAGCTACTATGCTATTTTGCATGCTCAGTTGTGTCCAACTTTGTGCGATCCCATAGACTGTAGCCCACCAAGCTCCCCTGTCCATGAAATTTTCCAGGCAAGAATACCACAGTGGGTCGCATTTCCTCCTCCAGGGGATCTTCCCAATCCAGGATAGAACCCATGTCTCCTTCTTCTGCGTTAGCAGGCAGATTCTTTACCACTGAGCCACCTGGAAGGATACTATGCTAGCTTTACAGCTAAACAGGCAATTCACTGTCATGGTACACAAATTAAAGTATAACTAATTGTCTCTGTATCAGAATCCTCTGAACTGGAAGAGAAGCAACATTTTCTAATCCTCATTAGCTGAGAAATCAAAACTTTAAACCCATTAGTAAGACATTTTAGCAGATTTTGTGCTGATTCTGTTTTTTTAACTTAGTGATTGAGTTTAATTTTAGAGGTCTTGTTCCATTTTATTACAAAATGTGGAATAGGTTAGTGTACCCCATTGAGATTCCATTTCAATCAGTTTTACTACTTATGCATATTTTTTTCCCATTTATGAAACTGAATTTTGTATCTTGTATCTTATGCTTTATTTCTGTATCAGGAAGGTTTTAAATGCTGAAAACTATTATTTGGTTTTTACAACATACCATCCTAAATAAAATGGATAGAGGAAGTTTAATGGACTAGCTTGGTTTCCCTTTCATATGTATTCTTAACCATTCAAAGCACAATTTTCATAATGTATCAAACTTTAAAATTTAATCTTGTCATTACTGTTCAGTTGCTCAGTTGTGTCCCACTCTTTGCGACTCCATGTACTGTAACACACCAGGTTCCCTGTTCATTATCTCCTGGAGTTTGCTCAAACTCATGTCCATTGAGTGAATGATGCCATCCAACCATCCCGTCCTGTCACCCACTTCTCCTCCTGCCCTCAATCTTTCCCAGCAACAGGGTCTTTTCCAGTGAGTTGGCTCTTCACATCAGGCGGCCTAAGTATTGGAGCTTCAGCATCAGTCCTTCCAATGAATATTCAGGGTTGATTTCCTTTAGGAGTAACTGGTTTGATCTCCTTGCAGTCCAAGGGACTCTCAAATCTTTTTGAGCACCAGAGTTTGAAAGCATTAATTCTTTGGTGCTCAATCTTCTTAATGGTCCAACTCTCACATCTGGACATGACTACTGGAAAAACCATAGCTCTGACTAGATGGACCCCTAGTTAGAAGTGAAGAATGGTGATCCTTGAGGAGAAATGGATCTAAGTGGAGAGCTCCCCATTAAGTGTCTCATCCTCAATCTTCATTTCTCTAACTTGCAGGTAGCAAAGACCTTTCAGAATCAATGCCTGGTGCATTTTCACTCTATGGTTCAAAACATTATATCCAGAATTTGTGGTAGGATATGTGGTTTTTCTCTAGTTTTAATGAATGAAAATATTTCTTAAATTTTTTGTTCCTTGTTGATATATTGCAAGCAGGGAATTCAGTAAATATGTACTCACTATAATAGTCACCTGCTATCTTTTTATGTTAAACATGTAGTGTCTATTTCCATTTAAAGAATAACATCCCTACTCTTAGCTCAGTTATCGAGCTTAATCCACCTCCAGACCTGGGTTTCCAGAGGATCTAACCTAATCCAGTGTATATACTTTACTCTTCTGATCACCAGAGATTGGTTCAGAGATTGAGATGAGCTTGAAATTGCTGGGATTCACCACATGGAGTCTTAACCCAGGAGAAACAGCTAAGAAATGGATCCTGCTAATATAATTTACACGACAAATCAAGCCAGGTCCATAAAAACCAGAGCTGGGTTTTGATATGGCTTTCTGTATTCATTTAAATGTAGGTATATTACAAAATAAGGCCAAATGTGAAGGTTTGCCTAGGAAAACTGGATAGTCTGCTCACTGAACTCCCTGTTAAAATACTCCTTTAGCCGAGCCCGTGCTAAAACAGGATAAGATGATTATGTGTACCACACACTCCAATCTCCAGGGCAGTTTATCAGCCTTTCATCTCTGCAGAGATAGTATCAATCAGTGGTGCCTAAAAGCTGGTCTGCACACTGGGGATGTCTGAGTAATAACATTCCCACTAGTCCACAGCATTCTTAGATAAATTCCACTGCTATGAGATGGTGAGCAGAACCCTGAGCCAAGTCCTAGACATGAGGCAACTGAGGGATAGTGCTCTGAAGCTCCCTCCAGCTTTGACGAGACAACTGGCTTAACCTCCCCCCACCAGACAGCAAGTGGAAGTCAGAAGTAGCTAGAAGCAGGGAGGCCACTGCTCCATCGCTTTTAGGTGTGCCCAAGATATCCTGAGACAGCAGCATGTGGCTTCCACTAAGGCCAGCACACCTAAACACAACCAAATTTTTAAGGAAAGATTCGTAACAAAAATGAAATCCTAGAAGAAAACTGATTTGAGTTCTAGACTGTTATCGAATAGACTCCAAACATGTCAAATATATGTCTAGGCCACAACTAACCAGTATAAATATTACAAAATGGAAATTGCTTATAAATTTTCTACACTTGGATTTTCAAAATTAGATCCTTTTCTAGATATTTTAGAACACAGCCAACTTTCTTCTGATTCAAAGATTTGTCCTTTAACTGTAGATCCCTCTTGGTTTAAGATAAAAACATTCCTTCCTTTAAGACATTCGGATGATAGCATTTACTCTGTGAAGTACATTTTAGAAACTGCAAACCACAGGTTGGATTCACTCCCTTCATTTTTTATTATTACTGATCCATGACTTCTAATAGCTTGACTTAAACCTTCTTTCCCAAGATTTTAATGAAAATAATTGACAAAAATCAGCACACAGAAATGTTACAAAAATAAAGATTACAGACAAATACCAAATAATGACAGTTTTTTAAAAAGAGAAACACAACAGGGATAACGGTTTTTACACACTATTTACACATTAATTATAAACCATGGCAGTAAAAGCTTTCCGAACGTTGGCAAGAAAAGCCGAAAAATTGTTGGTCTGCCTTACATTTTCTTGAAATTCTGCGAGGCACTCAAGATAAGGAGCACTATCTGACACTAGGAGGAAAAAAAAAAGAAGACAATATTTTTAGAAGAGAAGTATTTCTACCTTAGATGGTCTCATATGATTCAAGTCATTTCAATTCCATTTTCCTGAAATGCTTTCAGCATAGAATGACACACAAACTTCATTTTCACACCCTATCTTTTGGACCTTTCCTTTGTTTAATCTCTAAATATTCAAATATTAAATACTACAATCTTGTTTTAAACAGATGGTAATCAAGGACTGAAGAGCTCAGAGATACAGAAGAGAAGGCCATTTCCTATCATCTTTCCCACACATTTTAACTATTTCAACTATTTTAACAGTTTTTTTTCTTAAACTGTTGTCAGTTTTCTGTGCAAAATTTGGCCTCAAATCTAGTTTCTGACCACTCAATCAAAAAAAGAACATCTTTCAATGCCAACCCTTAATAACTGACAACTATGGAAAGAAATATCTGCTGTTTCACAACTGAAATGGGGATCATTGGAAAATGTAGCTGCTATTCCCAGAGTCGTATTTACATGGCCAAATGGGACTCAAAGTCACAAATAACAATATGGCCCTCATATGCAGTTGCACCAGGTGGTACATACTAGGACCAAATCTCCTGTGAAGGTGGCCGAAGGAAAGGAATGATCCAACTTTCTCTACCATCGGTCTTGTCCTTTGTCCAAGGAGAAGAAATTGAAGCCTGTCAGATTTCTAGTTCTTTGGCAGAGACTGCTTGGGAAACAAGGCCCATGACCAAAGCAGAAAAAGAAGAGCAAAGAGCACCTGGTTCCAACTTTACACTGGAGACTCTATTTTAATACATGATCAAATACTATAACACTATATAACAAGAGAGGCTATCCAATTTAGAGAAAACTGAGAAGCTAGGTTGGAGGTTTGGGGATTTGCTTTTTAAAAGTTAGCAGCCTTCAGATTAGAAGATATTTACCTAGAGACAGAAAAAAAACCAAACATTTGTACTTGAATACATTCCTAAAATATAAATTCAAGTCACTAAGTCACATCAGGGAGCCTACTCAGCCGTTTTCCTGAGCACCCATCTGCTATTAATACAAATGTTTTGAGGACACAGGTATAAAGAGCTAAGAACCATTTTTCTGAATTCCAGTAAGTTAAGGATTACTTTAGAATCCTTAACATTAGAATAATAAAAAGAGATAAATAGATTTCCATTCTTTTTGTTCACAATATTGCCAAACATGTAACTTCCCACACATTAAAGACCTTTTTGGCCCTCTGCAGAATCAGTAACGAAGCAAGATTATCAACATTTGGGATTTTCAGGATAGGATAATATTTTAAAATTTATTTTTTGGCAATTAAATCATCACATTCAAACTGAAAATCATCTACTTAGATCACATACAATATTCATACTTAGGCAGTCATATCCTTTATAGCTTTAGCTTTGAGTTCTCTAAGAGGATAATTCAGACTTGCAAATGAAATGCAGTGATCGTTGGTCTTTTAAGTCTTTCAGTCATTGTGGCGCTGTGCCATCCAGAAGAGAAGCTACTCATTAAGGATCCTGGATACTATCTATAAATCAAAACTGTAGTCACCACCTTTAGAAGACAACATCACAAGAAGCAAGACTGGAAAAGAAAGCAGCAGCTTGTGGGAATGTTACTTGCCTTCACGTTACTTTATGTTCTAAGTCAAATAACATTCTTGGATGCCAATCTTAAGTACCAGTTAAGAGATAGGAGTACATACCTTCATAGTCCCTTGCTTCATTTAGGCCCAGGGAAAACATAAATGGACGATCAGGATGCTTAGGGTCAATATCAGTGAATATAAACTGCAATTTATCACCTGAGAAAAGGGGTTAAATGATTTAGTATGAGAATTATTTTATTGTGCCAAAGTTCTCAATTGAGACAAGCTTTCTTCCCTCCACCTCTGATTAATATCTACACTGCTATAAAACAGTATTTTGATTTTGAGGACTATGAGAAACTTCTACTTTAAATCTAAAGATAATTTTAAAGCTTTAAAAGTGGTTTTGAGACAAAACTAAACAAAACACAAAAAAGTACCTCAGGATAACAGTGAAGATAAACTTAAAGACCAATGGATCAAAAGTTCAGAGCTACGCTTGCTTTGGTAGCACATACACTAAAATTGGAATGTTACAGAGAAGATTAGCATCACCCCTGTGAAAGGATATCATGCAAATTCATGAAGCGTTCCCAACACAATATTGTAAAGCAGCTGTCCCCCAATTAAAACTAAATAAAATTTTTTAAAAACTTCAGATCTGGTCTTTATGTTCTCCTCTAAGCAAAGGTTAATATTTTGTATTAAAAACTCATTCTGACAGATAGGAAAAACACCAAAACAAAGGCAAACAGATTTATGAATAGAGGGTCCAATTTCAGAAATAAGTATAATCAGTAAATAAATAGGGGAAATGGTCACATTTTCATTAATAATCAAAGAAATGTATTTTTTAAAAGTTTCTATTATCTAATCAACTGCCAGATAACAAAATAAACCAAAAAACTTTAAAAAGAAACTACAGTTCTGGCACAAATAAAAATGAAATGGGTACACTTTACATTATATACAGATTGCATAAAAGAGCTGACCTAGCAGACCTGAGACTTTTATCCCCAGAAAAGGTCTGCTTGCAAGATTGGTCCTTGTCCAGTGTATCAGAGATCCCCAAGACCGCCACAGGTTTGAAAATTCACCAGGAGGATTCCTGGGGCTCACCACTGGTTGTACTCAGTGCTATGATTGCAGTGAAAGGATACACAAAATCAGCAATGCAAATAATTCCTGGGGTGAAGTCCAAGGAAAACCAGGCCAAGCTTCCAGAGTCTCTAATGAGGTTCCCTGATAGACAACATTTCACGTGTACTGTCACAGTTTGACGCCGAAGGGATTAATCACATCCTGTGTGACTCCACTGGCTTATGGCTCTTGAAAACTTGTTTCCTCTCGATTTTGCCCCACGTGACTTTTTCCTTTGGGCTGATTTTGTTTTGTATCCTTTCACCGCCATAAATCTGAGCCACCATGAGTCTTGTAAATCTTTCCAGTGAATCACCAAAACTGAATGTAATCTTGGGGACTCCCAATACCATAAATATTTCTATAAATTGACACACAGATATGTAACGGTGGCTATTTTAATATTCCTATGCTTTAACTCGGTAATTCCTCTCTGGGAATTTCATGAAAACTGTGCTCCCCAAATGGAGAAGTTTATGTATGTCCACTATAGTATTTCTAAAACTAAAAACTACAAAATCCAAGTGTTAGAGTAATATATGGGTTAAACAATAGATAAAAGATTGAATAAATTAAGCTACAGTTATGGAATGAATTATTACACCACTATGTTAAAGTTACCATCATGAAGGCTACAGCAATTAGAAAAATACTAATCCTACAATGCTAGTAAGAACAAGGAACAGAAAATTTTTTTGTATGCTGGCAACTGTGCCTAAAATACGTTTACTAAAATACTGGGTGATAAATAACCAAGGCATGAGTAATTACATTAGGGTGATTAAAGTTTTGTAATTTTTTCCTACTGTTTAAAAAGTTAACAATGTGGTCATTATCTTAGCTGAAAATATTTTAAAGATTCTTTTCTACTTAAGACAGACTTTTCAAATTTCCTATGTTTTACTTACATTAATATACTAACCATAAATTTTTCGAATTTCTAGTCCAAGTCGATCTTTATACAAGTCTGCAGATTTCTGTAGCCTTTTCAACCTCTCTTCATTAGCTTTCTTAGCAGTGGAAATAGCTATGATTAAAAACATAGACAATGAGTATAGAATATTTTAAATAACATTTAGTTAATATTCTTTTAACTAATTTAAAAAAATTTAAAAACAACCAAAAAATGATGCCAAGCAAATAAATCAGCTTACATTTACTACACTTTCTATCTCTACCAATTAGCAAAGGGGTTTCTGTTCATTCAAGCTGGAAGGAAAAACTACATGAAAAAATACATACCAGTATTAAGAGGAATAAGTTTTGTTCTATTTTATTATAAAGCAGCATGAATAAATAGGCCAAGGACTTGCAAGGCTAGCAGAGAAACAGAAAGACGTCCTGTACACTATTTTGCTGTTTTTTAGTCAGCCAAAAATGTATCAATTGCTTCACTGGAAAAATATCCTATTATTTTAAATAGGAAGTCAGACTTATTTCATGCTAGCTTAGAACTTTTTTTCAAAAGTTAATGCAATATTCCCTAAGTAATACTTAAGAGATGAAAAAAATAATGTTGATTCATACACAAACTCTTTAAGAAAAAGCATTCATGAAACAAACTTTGCTATTTTCAAGAGATTTTAGAATTGATTATTTCATTTATGGGCAAACACGGCTTCTATATAAAAGAAGCACCTTTTAAAAAAAAAATATAAAAGTCTTAGAAAAAGAGGCTTTACATCATGAAGAACATGCTTAATAGTTCCTGACAGAGGATGCATGATCAATGAATCTATTGCATAAATTACACAATGGTTTCTCCCAGGCAAATCTTATTTAGTGAAACTGTCTCCCACTCTGCTTAATTAAACTCCCATATCAATTTCATTATTCTCTGGTTCTATTAGAAATCAAAAGGATCAGTCTTCACTAATGCACGTATATGGAATCTGGAAAGATGGTACTGATGAAATTATTTGCAGGGCAGCAATGGAGACACAGACATAGAGAACAGATTTATGGACATGAGAGGGGTTAGGAAGGACAGGGTGGGATTTATGGAGACAGTACCATGGAAACATACATTACCATATGTAAAATAGACAGCCAACAGGAATTGCCCTATGACTCAGGGAACTCAAACTGGGGCTTTGTAACTACCTAGAGGGGTGGGATTGGGGGAGATGGGAGGGAGGTTCAAGAGGGAGGGATGCTGGTATACCTATGGCTGGTTCATGTTGATGTTTGGCAGAAACCAACACAATACTGTAAAGCAATTATCCTTTAATTAAAACTAAATAAATTTTTAAAAAGACAGGAAAAAAAAAAGGCTCTTTAAGCAAAAGAAGGAAAATTAAAATCCACTTAGCAAACTTCACAGACACCTTGCAGAGGAAGGTGAGGGACTGGCTATGGACTTAAAGTATGTTAGCTACTTCTGGCAATGAACTGGGGAGAAGGCAAAATGTACATAATTGTGAGCCATCACTACTTTGAAATTTAGATTGTTTTAAATACCTGTACAACTGGAAACTTACTTTCCTTCTTCCTAGCATATTCTTCCTTAAGATCCTGGATAGTTGCAGTCAGTGCCTCCACTTCCTGTTTTTTGTCTTTTACTTCAGCAATCAACTTTAATAAATTCTCCTTTTTCTCTTGAATGAGCTTATTCTGTCTGCAGATTTCTATAAGAAGCACAAAGTATTAGCTAGAATCTATATGCTTTGCTCATCAACATGTATCTATAAAAAGAGCAAAATTTTTGTGACTTTCACAAAATTAATGTTTTAATTGATAAAACATTTCCTGATGATTAAAAAAACTGTAAGAGAACAAGAAACCTTATCCTTTCCTATTTGTCTTTGAAAACAAAAATGAGGAGACAAAAAATGCATTTTTAAATGAGAATGCTAAATTAAACCAAGAAATACAAAATCAGAAGATCGTGACCTTTGCAGCTCTCCCCTTCAGATAAGTACACAAAGAGAACACCACCAAAGATGAAGAAACTCTAAAGATGGCTTTTCAGATGCTTTGAAGAAATACCCAAGTTTAATGCTAGATATCTGGTATATTCTGAAATATACCAAAATGATAGAAGAAAGAAGACAGGAAGGTAAGGAGGCAGTGAAGAAGGAAGAATACACAGAAGAACTATATTAAAAAGATCTTCATGACCCAGATAACCACGATGGTGTGATCACTCACCTAGAGCCAGACACCCTGGAATGTGAAGTCAAGTGAGCCTTAGGAAACCTAACTATGAACAAAGCTAGTGGAGGTGACAGAATTCCAGTTGAGCTATTTCAAATCCTAAAAGATGATGCTGTTAAAACGCTGCACTCAATATGCCAGCAAATTTGGAAAACTCGGCAGTGGTCACAGGACTGGAAAAGGTCTGTTTTCATTCCAATACCAAAGAAAGGCAATGCCAAAGAATGTTTAAACTACCACTTAATTGCACTCATCTCACACGCTAGCAAAGTAATGCTCAAAATTCTCCCAGCCAGGCTTCAACAGTACCTGAACCGTGAAATTCCAGAAGGTCAAGTTGGATTTAGAAAAGGCAGAGAAACCAGAGATCAAGTGGCCAACATCCCTTGGATCATAGAAAAAGCAAGAGAATTCCAGAAAAACATCTACTTCTGCTTTATTGACTAAGCCAAAGCCTTTGACTGTGTGGATCACAACAAATGGTGGAAAATTCTTAGAGATGAGAATACCAGACCACCTGACCTGCCTCTTGAGAAATCTGTATGCAGGTCAGGAAGCAACAGCTAGAACTGGACATGGAACAACAGACTGGTTCCAAATCAGGATGTGAGAGTTGGACTATAAAGAAAGCTGAGTGCCAAAGAATTGATGCTTTTGAACTGTGGTGTTGGAAAAGACTCTTGAGAGTCCCTTGGACTGCAAGGAGATCAAACCAGTCACTCCTAAAGGAGATCAGTTCTGAATATTCATTGGAGGGACTGATGCTCAAGCTTACACTTCAATACTTTGGCCACATGATGTGAAGAACTGACTCACTGGAAAAGGCCCTGATGCTGGGAAAGATTGAAGGCAGGAGGAGAAAGGAACAACAGAGGATGAGATGGTTGGATGGCATCACTGACTCGATGGACATGAGTTTGAGTAGGGTCCGGGAGTTGGTGATGGACAGGGAAGCCTAGCATGCTGCAGTGCATGGTGTCACAAAGAGTCAGACAAGACTGAGTGACTGAACTGAGCTGACTGAACCGAAGAAGGGGGAAATCACATATACAAATAAGACATTCAGGAATAATCTAGATCAAGATATATGCAGGCTTTGTACAGAAAAAAAATGCAAAACTTGTCTCAGGCATACATTTGACCCAGTTATATGGAGAGACATTTTAAGCTTCTAAATATTATAAAGATGTAAATATTTCCCAAACCTATTTCTGTATTTAATAAAGCCCCAGCGGAATTTGGAGGGAAGAGAAAGGGAATATCCAACAAAAGTAATTACACAGGTGAGAACAGCTAGGAAATATGGTGAGAAAAATAATAAGAAAAGGGACTTGCCCTATCAGATTTAACAACTGTGACTATGACAGTATTAACACAATAGTGGTGCAGTAATTGACTATAACTCAGTTAAACAAACAAAAGTTTGCAAACAAATATGGGTATATTTAGGAAATTAATATGATAAATATCACAAATGAAGAGGTAGCCTGTTCCCCAAACAGTGCTGAAATCCAAAATAAAATCCACATTTATTAAATATTTAAATGTAAAATGAAACTTTATGAAACCTAAAAGGCAGTATCTGTGAATATAAAATTAACTATATGGGGAAAGATCTTTTTATTGAAGGCAAAAGGAAATTGAAGAGAAGGCAGGCAAGCAGACAAACTTATATTTGAATCAAATAAGCATAAAAACTCTACTATAAGCTAGATACTTGCTCTTATGTTTATATAAATTTAGTCAAGTTTCACAATAATACAATTATGATGGACGTCTTACTCTTTTTTAAAAGAAAAAGAGCTAATATATATAAAACAGATAATCAACAAGGACCTACTGTATAGCACAGGGAACTCTACTCAATATTTTGTAATAACTTGTAAGGGAAAAAAATCTGAAAATCAATAAATGTGTATATATAACTGAATCACTTTGCTGTATACCTGAAACTAACACCCTGTAAACTAACCGTAACTTCGATTAAAACAAAGAAGAAGAAAATGAAGTTTCAGCAGTTCAATAACTTGCTCACAGCTTTACCTGCTAGAATGCAATGAACAGTAAGACCTGGATTCAAACTTAGGTCTTAACTTCAAAGGTCAAGCTTTTAACCATTAAACTATTTTCTCCCAACAAAGGTTACTATTCTTAATCTAAAGAAGACACAAATATAAATTCGAAAGGAAAGGACAAAGTAATAAATAGAGGAAACACAAAATGAAGATGGTTAACAAATACAAAAGATAATTTAAACTCAGTAATCACAGAAATGCAAATAAAGCAATAACATACCAATTACACACTTTTCTGTATTTTCTAAGACTTTGTGGACATGATCGGATTATATAAGAGATACTTTAAAAATAAACATCAGAATTACAAGAAAAAAATGCTACTTTTTAAGGATAATTAAGTAGAATTTTACTGCAAAAGAGATGCAGATTCAAAAGTCAAAAGTTCTCAGTTGTTACCCAAGGACCCTGATCCAATGACAACCATGGGTCCTCTTTTCCTCAGTTGTAAAACAAGTATTTTGGCCATCTGATGCAAAGCGCCGACTCATTAGAAAAGACTCATTAGAAAAGACCTTGGGAAAGACTGAATGCAGGAGGAGAAGAAGATGACAGAGGATGAGATGGTTGGATGGCATCACCGGCTCAATGGACAAGAGTTTGAGCAAGCTCTGCAAGATGGGGAAGGACAGGGAAACCTGGTATACTGCAGTTCATGGGGTTGCAGAGTCAGACTCAACTGAGCAACTGACCAACAAAAAACAAGTATAATAATGGCTGTCCCATTTATTTACCCCACAGGATTAGGGTATCTAATGATGGTGTGAAAAATTTTAAGCTAGTAAGTAGTACATAAATACCATGTATAGGAGTGTTTTTATTCTAACATTTGAAGGATTGTATGGTTTTCCTTCCTGATGCTGGTTACAGAGGGAATGAGAAGCAGTAAAAGGGCATGGAAGCCTCAGGGCAGCTAAGAAAGTGGACATGGGTAGAAGTCTCCTATAACAGCCTCCCAGGAGTTCCAAAATCACATGCCTTCAGGGGCCAGATATTAAGTGGTGAAGGCAAAGCCAAGCAAAAGAAACAATCAGGGACTGTAGCACATTAAGTAAATGTGTCCCATGTAAAGACACTCTGATTTGACAGTGTTCAAAACATGATTTGGCAAAATTTGGTATCTCCAGTGGATTTTGGCCTGGGGCTATAAGCCTGTGGTCTGTGTGTGAGAATTCAGTAAAAGCTGCTAATCCACTCTGGACAATCTGCACAGTGGTAGAAAAGAAAGGCAGGAACAATAAAAATATAGACAGAAAAACTGTCAGACTTTAAACCTACACCCAAAGAGCTGAGAGAACTCCAGTTTTTCAGTTGTGAAACTAATTTTTCAAAAATGTGGGCATTTATACATCAGGGTGATAAACATGTTATGTACGGATTTTGTATTCTAGTCTGTGAAACTCATTTTTTAAAAAATATGGACATTTATACGTCAGTGAAGATGAATCTCACGAGCAAATGCTAAGTGAAAAAGGGACAGAATATATATTAACACAAAATGCTGCCACATATATAACATTCAAATCCTCAATACTAAAGTAAAATACTGACGGATTAGTTCTAGACGGTGAGAGAAGAGGAAAGTATAACACGGGATGTTCTAGTTATTAAGCTGGATTGTGTGCATGTGTGCTCAGTCCCACTCTTTGTGACCCCATGGACTTCAGCCTGCCAGGCTCCTCTGGAATTTTCCAGGCAAGAATACTGGAGTGGGTGGCCATTTCCTCTTCCAGGGGATCTTCCCAACCCAAGGACTGAACCCACTTCTCTTGCTACTCCTGCACTGGCAGGCAAATTTTTTAACCACTAAGCCCCCAGGGAAGCTGTGTGTGTATATATATATACACACACATATACACATATATGTATATATGTATATAAAAGAGTTGGACCATAAAGAAAGCTGAGCACCAAAGAATTGATGCTTTTGAACTGTGGTGTTGGAGAAGATTCTTGAGAGTCCCTTGGACTGCAAGGAGATCCAACGAGTCCATCCTAAAGGAGATCACTCCTGAATATTCATTGGAAGGACTGATGCTCAAGCTGAAGCTCCAATACTTTGGTCACCTGATGCAAAGAACTGACTCACTGGAAAAGACCCTGATGCTGGGAAATACTGAAGGCAGGAGGAGAAGGGGATGACAGTGGTTGAGATGGTTGGATGGCATCACCGACTTGATGGACAGGAGTTTGAGCAAGCTCTGGGAGTTGGTGATGGACAGGGAAGCTTGGCATGCTGCAGTCCATGGGGTCACAAAGAGTGGGACACGACTAAGCGATTGAACTGAACTGAACTGATATATATAAACACATTGTTTTACTTGTATGAGGGATTTTATGAAGATGTTTAATCTAAAAAACTCTCTATGATCTATTTCTACAGTTTGTCACATACGATTTTGATATTCCAGAAACATTTCAACCATCCGTTCTTCTTCCTTTAATTTCACAGACAGCTTTTCTAAAAGAGAAAAGGAGTTGAAGTTTCAATTCAGCTGAAATTACACTAAAAACCAAACAAGAACAACAAAGAATAACAGCATGTTATGAGTTAAATGTAGGTACCTGCAAATGCTTTAATTGAGTCCTTGTAGGCATCTCTTAGTCCCACCATCTGACAGGAGGTGTCACTGACAGTGCTTTTGAATTTATTCCAAAATTCATTTATGCTTTTATCAAATAGTGCCAGTTCATCCTCTACCATTTTGTAAGACAAGGCTATAAAACAAATCGGACACACACTGTATTTTTTAAGTTACTGAAACCATATCAGCCACATATGTTAGTCAAGTATATTTTGGCAGTTTGAAATTTGTTAGAAAATGGTTAGCAACTTACTTTCTTTAATACATTGAAGTATAGTTGATTTACAATACTGTGTTAGTTTTAGGTGTACAACAAAGTGATCCAGTCATGTATATATCTATATTCTATTTTTCTACTCGATTCCATTATAGTTTATTACAAGATTTCAATTTACCGTGCTATACAGTAAATCCTTGTTGATACGGTAATGTGCATCCCTTAAACCCCCTACTCCCATAGCAACTTACTTTTAACTCTAAATATCCCTGGGCAGATCAAGCCACCTAAACTTAACTATGATATAGGTGCAGCAGGAAATCAGAACACCATCACTCCCTAGGAATTCATTAGTAGTAACCCACACAACACTCACTCTGACCCCGGGAAATACGACTCTGCCTCCATTTTTTCACAAGTAAAGTTGGGGACTGCTAAGACTCCTTCCAACTCTGACACTTTTGATTCCGGCCTGGATTGCCAGGTCCCCAGAAGGCGGGGCCCCTATCATGGGATAAGATCCCACATATCTACACTCCTTCTTCCTCCACCTCCAGATCAGGAAAGGTGACAGTAAAATGGAAACTAGAGGAGAGTTTAGTGGGTTTAGTCCAGGACCTGTCCAAGTAACCTCGACTTTCCAGGCCTCAGTTCCTCCCCTGTGAAAGGATGTTTTGTAAGATCCCAGGTCCCATCAGTTTTCTGTAACGCTACAGCCTTCCCAATGACATAAAATCTCCCCAGAAAATTCGCAGACTTGTCTTAGGTGAAACCCTAAACCCCTCTGCCTTGGGGCTGCCCATTCTGCTCCCCAAACAGCAACAAGACGTACATTTCAGACTCCGCCCCCAAAATACTCATTCCGCCTCCAAACCCGATTTCCCCTACCGCGACAGGCGAGTTTCGGAGCCCAGGTCAACTCCCACCTTCTCCGGCAGGCCTGAGCCCAGCCACCTGCCCCACAAGACCTGAATCGACTTCAACCAACAGTCGAACTCCAAGATCCGCTACCGCAGCCTAGCCAACTTTCCTATTTCAAACCTAGGGCGCCTTCCGCCTCCCGCCTTTGGGCTCCCATACGCCTTCTTATTGGCTTATAGTGTAGGCTCTTTTATGAAGGGATTGGTTGATCTAGCCCTCTGGGATTCTCGCGAGAAAGATAGAGGAAATGGCATTCTGGGACTGGTAGTTCTTTTTTTGAGAAGAGCCGACCTCTTGAGCTCTACTTCAGGGATGTATTAACAGTTCCTGGAAAACTCGCCTGACTGGCCATTCATCCTTTTCAGATAAAGGTTTCCGCAAAAAAAATATAAATATTGAGCTTTAATTGTATTCTGTTGCCAAGTATATAGCCTTTTCTTTAATACTACAGGTAGCTTAAGTAAAACTAATAAAGCTTATAAAAATACCATTGCTTAATCTGTCTAGTGGCTGAAATATTACTCTTTATTGACTAATAATAATAACAAATTCCAAAATTTCTTGACTCTGATTTTAACCCTGTGAATTAAAACAGAGACATGAAAAGGCAGTAACTAATACTGGTAGTCCCTCACCCAGTAGAAACAGCAACACGAAATTTTTAATAGTGAAAGGGATGGGCAAGATAAGGGTAGGGGATTAAGAAATACAAACTACTATGTAAATAATGAATAAACTACAAGAATATATTATATAGCACAGAGAATATAGCCAATATTTTATGATAACTTTAACTGGAATATAATCTATAAAAATATTGAAGCATTACTGTTGTATACCTGAAACTAATATAGTTTTGATTTACAGTATTTTCAACTATACTTCAGTGAAAAATAATACATAAAAAACTTTTAATAGCCAGGATTCTTGCTACCTGCTGTCTCTGATTGGCTGTATTGTAGACTAATGTGAAAAGGAGAGTAGTAAGTGAGAGGTGAATTAAGGTTTGAGACAATGATGCTGCTGATGGCAGAATTGAAGCTGTCTTTTCAGCAGATCTGGTGTGTTGAGGGAGAGGTGTTGTGGGGAGGAAGATGCATCATGAGTTATAATTTTAAATGTTGAGTTTGAGAGAATATTGTTGAAGATACTAACAAAGCACTAATGTCTTGCAGTCAGTTTATTTCTTCAATTAATTACAGATTGGGTAATGTTTCAACTCTGCAGTAAGACTACCTGGGTTTGAATTTGTTAAATGTGATGATGGGCTCCACCAATTTGCCAAGTGTGATTATGGGCAAGTTCCTTGATCTCTTTAATCTCAGTTTCCTTATCTATAAAGTGAGGGTAATAATAATAATATCTTCTTCATATACCCTATGTGAAGACTAAAAGAGAAAGTAAATGAGAATACCTTGGACTAGGTCCTTGTAACATAAAATGGTTTCTTATTATTGTGATTTATATACTACCCACTTCCTGTGCAATACACTATCATTTTAAACACACATAAATAAGACTTTAAATAGGACAAAATCTACAATAGCAAAGAAGTAGAGAAATTGTTGCAATTCGATACTACCTTTAGCTAAGGCGATGCATATAGCTCCCAAAACAAGACAATCACACTACTCATACAATTTTGATTTTAAGGAAACATACATTCTGCTATGTCCAGATAAATACAGAATGCATCCCTTCCACCCCAATCCAACTTGAATTGATTAGTATTATCCGTTTAATAATTTACCAATGTTTCACAAGTACAATTTTAATCTCAGCACAATGGAAACTAAATTTTTAACAATAATCAGAAAACAGTTTCAGCAATTTCTTTAGGCCATTACTAATTCAAGATAATAGATTATTTTTTCAGCTTGGAATAATGCTCGGACCATTTCTCTAATGCATTTCTGATGGAATCTAGACACACATGACTGATCCATGAACAAACTGGAAAGAGCTCATCAGCAAGGCTTTGAGATATTCAAGACTGATGCAGGCTACAGCTACATCTCTTCCAGTAAGATGAACATCTTATAGCTGACTTATTTTTTGTTCTCTTTAATGGACTATTTTTGTTAGGTTGACTTCTAATATGAGTAGGCAGAAACATCCAGAAAATCCTCACAGAAGCAAATTCCTTATTATATATGTATACACATCCTCTTGGTACTCTTTCTCTGTAGCACTCTGCCTAATACACATGCATATACATTTTGTTTCTCCATTCATCCATCGATGATTATTTGGGTTGTTTCCACCTTTTGGTTATTTTGAATAATGCTGCTATGAACATAGGTGTACAAAGAATATTCAGTTTTAATTTCTCATAATTAAATTTTGGTCTAATTTTTGGGGGGCAGAATAGTTGATGCTAAAAAATACCTACATGAATGTGAAGTTCTATACCTTCTACCTCTCTACTAGTCCCTTCTCTGGTTCCTATTCTCCTCCCTAATCCCGAAATTTAGATGCGTCCCAAAGTCCATGACTCACTTTTCCCACCAACTTATTTTCCAGGGCAATCTCATCTGATCTCACATGGCGGTCTCTCAGATTCATCTTGTCTTGACTACTTTTCTGCACTTCAATCATATATTTCTATTTCTCTCCTGGTCAGATCACAAAAATCCCTCACTAGTAATATTTTAAAAACAAACTTTATTATTTTCTTGGTAAATATTCCCTTTCTTTTAATGGCACTGGTGTTTTCCCAGTGTTCAAATTCAGAATATTGGGATCTTCCATGATTCCTTTATGGTTAACTTGTTGCCAACACCCTTATGCGTGTGTGCTAAGTTGCTTCAGTCATTTCTGACCCTTAGCAACCCTATGGACTGTAGCCCTCCAGGCTGCTCTGTCCATGGGATTCTCCTGACAAGAATATTGGAGTGCATTGCCATGCCCTCCTCCAGGGAATCTTCCATGCCCAGGGATCGAACCTGTGTCTCTTAAGTCTCTTGCATTGGCAGGTGGGTTCTTTACCACTAGCGCCACCTACGAAGCCCACCAACGCCTACAGATTCACCTATATTTCACCACCCTCACCTTCTCTTTCTTCTATTCTCTAAATCTCTATTTAGACCCTTACTACATGGTTCTTACCTTCAGACTCTTGCCCTCCTGATCTGTTTTGCCTACCATGGCCACAAAAATATTCTCAAAGTGCATACTATTTCCCTGTTCAAAACACTCTGTGTTCCTTCATTATCTTAAAAATATAGTCCATACTCCTTAGTGGCATTCAAGTCAAATCATTGAATGAAATGGTCTCAAGTTACCATTTACCCTTATTGTTCAATTGTTTACTTTATATTTTAATAGAAATAAACAATGAGCCATGTACTTCTTTAATTTTGCTCATATAGTTTCTGCTTTGGGCAGAAAATTATTCTAAATAATTTGTGATATACACAAAAGTTAACAAAATAGTACAATGAATCTCTCATGTACCTGTCATAGGGCCCCAGCTACCATCAACCATTGGTCAACCCTGCTCTATCCAGACCCCATCCACTTTCCCAAACAACATGTCATTTCACCCACAAAAATCTCAGTATACTTTTCTAAAATATAAGAACTCGCTTTGACATAACCACAACAGCATTAGCACATTAAAAACATTACTATTAATTGATTAACATTATTGCAATAAAATCTGTTTTAGAAACACAATTTTGACATTTTTGAGAAAATTTTTTAACTGAAATTTTTAACTGAAAATTTTTTAAAGTTTCAGACTTTGAATTGTCTCATAAATATAAAAATGGAGATTTTTTCCTACAGTTTTTAAACATAATATATTTCAAATGGAATATATTTCTCTATTTCATCCTACAGCTTTGCATTTCTAAATTCCACCCATTGATCCAGACTCAGTCACTTGCTACCTCCTCCACATAGGCTTCCCTAACCTCATAAATGGAAGGTTAAATCTGCTTTTCCTCTTGTCGATTTACTTGTCTGTTAGCCCCTAAG